AAGTGTAGGTCCAGGTGTAGGTCCAGGTGTAGGTCCAAGTGTAGGTCAGGTACACGAGAGGAGCCTGATAACTGAAAGATCTTCCTCCCATTCTGTTTTTGGAAACTCTAGGAACCACAAGTAAGCCTGCAGTCTGAGAGTGAAGTGTTCTGTTAGGAAAATATGGAACAATAAGATCTGTAATATAAGATGGAGCTAGGTTGTTGAGAGGTTTATAGGTTATAAGTAAGATTTTGAATTCAATTCTAATCTCGAGGTATGCACTTGAAAGAGGAATGAAAGTCAGTCATAGTAAGGCAGAGTGCATGTGTGAATGAGAGGGAGGCTGGTGGAACAGTGAGGCTACAAGAAGCAGGACTTCAAGTACTTGGAGTCCACTGTCCAGGAAAATGGGGATTGTGGTAAGGAGGTGAAAAAGAGAGTCCAGGCAGGATGGAGTGGACGGAAAAAAAGTTTCAGGAGCAATTTGTGACAAAAGGGTGTCAGCAAAGGTCAAATGAAAAGTTTACAAGACAGTGGTGAGACCAGCTATGGTGTATAGTCTGGAGACAGAGACATGGACAAAAAAACATGAGAAAGAACTGGAAGTGTCAGAAATGAAGATGTTGAGGTTCTCCTTAGGAGTGACAAGAATGGATAAGATTAGGAATGAGATCATCAGAGGTACAGCACAGGTTGAACTGGGAGACAAAGTTAGAGAGACCAGACTGAGATGGTTTGGACATGTCCAGAGGAGGGACCGTGGGTATATTGGTAGAAGGACGTTAGAAATGTAGCTCCCAGGAAAAAGACAAAGAGGAGATATATGGATGAAGTTAGAGAGGACATGGAGGTAGTTGGAGTGAGGACATAGGATGCAGAGGACAGAGTGAGATGGAGGAGGATGACTCGCTGTGGAGAACCCTGAAGAGAAAAGAGCCGAATGAAGAAGAAGAGGAAGAAGGAGTCTAATTCCACACAGTCAGAAGGCTCCAGACTTGTCCATCAATAATTTACTGTCTATACAGAGTGTAACATTTGATGAGTCAGCTAAATGCATGCTGGGTCTGTTTGGGTCACAACAATAAACTCTTAGAACTCTGCAATAAACCAAAGAAACAGTCAAACAGTTATAATTTGACGGAGACTGCAGATGATCTCTGGTCCTCACTCACCAGGGTTTATCACTTTCTGCCTAAAAAAGCATGATGATCTGTACAAATTGGTTAAACGGTTATTGTTTTTTTTTTTTTTAAGTAAATGTCAGGTGGAACACAAGGTCCAAGTATTTTTTTCTCATCTAGCTTCGATTCCACATAATTGAACGTTAAAAAAACAACAACATCCGTTACTTTGTTTTCTACAAATTGCTTTGCCGACTGGAAAATGGTGTGTGGGAGAGTCGAACCAGGATTCTACTAGTCACGACTTTTAAATAGTTGTCAGCTTTGAGTTTTTATGACATTTTGTTAAATTTTGACATGGAAAAAAGGAGGAAAATCTCATCTGGTAGCCTTTTTATTACATCTGTGACACTGGGACGTGCCAGCCACCAAACACTTCTTTTCCATCTGTTCTTGCAGGCTTCACAAGATGGATTCTTTTTCTGCCTCTAAATACCCAACATTTCCTTTTGTGTGTGCTTTTTCCATTAGGTGAACTTGGCTATAATGCAGAAGCAGCTCTCTGAGATGGCCATCGGGCACCCGCGCCAGGCCAGCTCCGGCTCCCATCAGAACGGTTTCTCAGGAGGTGTGGGCGCCCTGGGCATCATGAACAACCGGCTGGCAGAGACCAGCGTGGACAGATAGGGCGAGTCGTGTGAGATTTCCTTTCGATTTTACGAGACGCAGAAAGCAGATGAGAAAGAAGCAAGTACGGGCAAAGGCCGACCTCCCGCAGGAGCTCTGAATCCATCTCAGCCCACGTTCCTTTCTGGAACGTGGCCCCGCGAACGCTGGATGCTCACATCTGGACCGGAGTGCTGGAATGTTCAGCAGTTTCCATGGTGATTAAAAAGAAGCCTGCCTAAAGCCTTGAATCTGAGCTTCTTCGCTCCGAACGGTGGCTTCCACTCATCTGCAACTCTTCGCAGTACCAGTCCTCTCAATGACTCGGTTGCATATTACGTCTGTGACTGTACGCTGTAGTGATGAGAGAATAGATTCAATAAAGTGGCTGTTTCCTGCTTTGGTGTCTGTACAATAAGTGTACAAGGTTGAATTAGACTCTTTTTTTTTTTATCTCAAGCTAAATTCATCCTACAACAGAAAAAAAAACCACTGACACAAGTACTTGTATAAAGTCACATTGTTCAGTGCTTAATGAAGGCAGCGTTTTATGTTAACATCTATCAATAAACTTTCTCTTGTCATGCCCATAACTTCAGATCCGCTCAAGAAAATTTAACTAAACTTCATACACATATGCATCATCACTAGAAGAAGTATCAAGCACACTTCAGCACTCCAGCTCAAAGGTCAATATCACAAATCAAGGTCAAATGTTATGCAAGGTCTTTCCTTGTCTGGGCCATTGCTATATATTTCTGTATTCATTCAGCCTTTATTTATATTGCTGTATCATATTTTGTCAGCAGGTAGAAATAAGGATTCTATGTCACCAAATTTACTTCATACCTGCAAACTCACAACGGATTAAAAAGGTAATAAACCTATCGCCTGGGGGGTCAAATGCGCCCACCCCCCCAAAGATTTTGTGATTTTTAACATGTAAATTAAGCATTCTGGTATACTACAAGAAAAAATGGGGAAAAAAGACAACATGCTTCAGGTAAGAAAGACATTTGCTAACATATTCTAATTTATTTAGGAAATACATAGGAAAGATGGCTAGTCAACCAAAAAATAAACAAGCAACAACAACAGCAGCAAGCCAACCAGAGAAACCAAATATAGCAGAGCATTTTTAATAACAAGCACTCATATTCTGTGAGTCTGTATTGCAGCATAGACGCATTAGCTAAGATGCTACAGATGTAGCACTACACTTCTCTAAGGCATCCTAACCTCCGCCCCCCGGTCGACAACTGCCAGCACTTACGTAGCTGTAGGGTAGCACAATGTAAGTACTTACGTAGCTGT